ATTTCTCGCAGCTAGTGTTTATTAGCGTAAAAAGTTCCTTTTTTCAACCCATGAAGGAATCCCTGTCTACAGATTGAACAAAAAACCATCTTCGACCTCTGTGCCGCGTTATGCCATTTTGTTGGACAAAAATTTACGCCTTTCTAGTACCCCCATAAAACCAGCCAACATATGCTGGGAAGTCTTTTGTTCAAAAGCAATACTTAGCAGGGGAGGTAGGAGTAGTAGAATCTGACATTGGAACAACAGTCAGATTCAATCCGTGCAAAGTTTAAAATTTATATAGTTTTTTTTTAGTATTTTATTATGTTAACACTTACATTTTAGCACTTGTATTTACATATTTTATTGTTGGACATTCTCACACCCTAATTTGTACTTATATATGTATATTTCATTTGCTTTTTCTACAACTTGAAAATGATCTCAGGGAGATCAAAATGTTGCTTTTTGTCGTAAGTTTTATTCTATAATTTTTTGTTACTGTAAATAAGCTTAAATTTGGAAATGGTGAAATGATATGGACATTAATAGTCAATGAAAAGAAGAAAAGACATTACACACAGTTCTGCTAGTTACTGATATCATCTTGGAAAGGTAAGAAAAACAGAAAAAAAAAAAGATGTGGGATATTGGTATTTGGTCACCCAACTATGTAATAACCCTGCCAAACAGGGCTTAACTTTGTTGATCGGACAAGACGCAGTGTTGTCCTTGTGGAAATATAGTGATTCCACTCTAAGCACAAAGATACATATTGATATATAGAACCTTTTTGAGATAGAACGGTCCATATGGATAATTCATTATAGATGATCCAAGTTGAGTGGCTCATAACCACTTTGATTCAACAGTCCAGTACGTTCAAACCTGTATAAAAGTGAACGCCTTCGGGGAATGGGTTATTATAATAATTACCTATGTTCAAATATCCTTTGTCTGTAGATTATTTCTGTGGGACAAGACTGCCAGATGCACATAACCACTTAAATGTGCAACTGTGTGACCAGTTAAATTTGACAAAACTTTTGGCAAGACCCATGTTATTTAAAGGACCATTCGACACCCCTCTCAAAGGTCCATGTTGTAAAATTCTGACTGCCCAGGGAGCCTTTCAGAGCTCTTCATCTTGGACTAGATTGCCGTATGATAGACAGGAATTAACACCTTTGGCTCATTTAGATATAATTTATATAGAAAAGTGTAATTTTCCAAACCAGATGGAAAAGTTGAGTTAAGACAAGAATGCAAACATGGGTACATGTAATGAGAAAGATTTATAATAAAACTTGTAAATATTGATTAAATGTTGATTTTTCCAATTTTTTTTGTGGCAACCCTACTCTAAAAGTTAAGACGAAAAATAAACAATGTAAGTGCGGAAGGTTCTAAATGTTGTTTTTCATATTTGAAGGACTATGAAGGACTATATTTCACATTTTCATTTTTAGTGCAGAATGCACTATTGGGATGGTTTTGGGGGCTGCCTGCCCCTAAGGTACTAAGGCGCTAAGGTGTAAACTTTAATGTTTGTTTAATTAATTAATTTCAATTAATTAATTAGTCTGAAGACAAGGAAATGGTGGGGGTGAGCCGGGAAAGGTACATGTGCACCCTACGTAGAACTTGTTATATCTATGTCAGTTGGGAGTTAACATCGTAAAGCTATATATTTATTTCAAGTAACCCCTTGCTCTCCTTGTGGTAGTATTCTCTTAGGAACAAAACCAATTTGCTCTAAATGCATGCGTGGATTAGTTAGCATTCATGTCTTCTATACATTAGGTGGGGGATACATTGCATACAGGATAACAGACAAATGTTGAGTAGTTTTCCTTACGGTAGAACCCAACATGTAAGAGGCATGCATTCTAGCATCGTAAGTGTTATGTACTATGTTTCCACACGGTTTTTTATGTCATGTAATGTCAGGTACTAGGTAGCGCTACCTGTCCCTTTTTAGTGCAAAAGTTAAATGTATCTTTTAGAATTACCCACAGGTCGGTTCAACAAATACAATCTGCTGTTTTCAAACTAGAATAGTATGTTTGTCAGGGTTTAAATAAAGAGGGAAAATGTGAAGTTTCTCAATAGTTGCTTACTTATTTCTTGCCTTAACTGCATCTGTAAGAGAGACCAAAAAGTTCCCGAGTTAGTCGCTTAAATATTGTGCAAATTGTAAATTTGTGACAAAAGAAACCAGGAAAGTGCTCAAATATTGCTGCAGACTCCGTGGCACCTAATGAAAGCGCAAATTAATTTAATCAGTCTTTGAGGAGACTCGTTCATTGATGCAGGATAATGTCGGCCAAGTAGCACTGTTTACCTTCAATACTTCTCATTGAAACGATTCCCAGTGGTATCAATCGATATTGTTGTGTATTAATTTTAACAACAAAGGTGGCAACAGAAAAAGAAAGTGCTATTCCATTACTATCTGATAAGTAAATTAGTTTTTCTTCATCTGATAAGAAAATTTGCGTTTTGAGAAAAAACAAAATTGTTTCGCTTCCATTTCTTCGTCAGATATTTAACTTTCTTTCATTTATCCCCCAAAACAAGCTCCTCTTCCTTGTGTTTTGGAGAAAACAAGAGTTTCATGTTACATACCTTTGCAAGGAAAACAAAAGTATCAAGTTATAAAGTTGGCGTGCAGAGCTGAATTGTCGCATTTGTTCAACGTATTATTGAATTTAACAGGAACGAAAATCATCGTAAAACACCAGAGTAAAATTTAAAAGCTGTTGTGACAAACAGTAATTGTATGTAATTTGTGACCTTGAATGAAAATACAACCTTGAAACGTGCTCACTGCTAAGGGGAAAAGCCCTAGCTGACTACCAAGGTAGATACAAACCGGAAGTGAACCAAGCAAGCGTGAGTACTTATGGGACTACCGTGCCAGAGCTATCAATTGCAGTTTGCACTATCTGAGATTGTCTCACTGGTTTGTTTTAAGTAGCTTAACACCTTTCTTTTACCAAACTTAATTTGTTACGTAGTTTTTTGGCACATGAAGTGCTATCTGTACTGATTACACAGTGTATGCAGGAGTCAGTTATATTGCAGAAACCTATCTTTCTAAACCTTCCCCCTGCAACCATGACTTGGATAATTCTTATTACATGTTTTTGTCTTGAATTGAAGAAGATCTACCAAAAGAAAGAAACTGTTTGCAATCTAAAATTCGTGAGATGCTTACCCTGCAGTGTTTGTTTGTGCTACATGTTATGCAGCTGCAGGGTAATTCAAACCTCACTCATTTTAGGCATTTATTTCAAGGTGTTCATCTTATAAGCAAAGTTGTTAAAATTTGAATAATTGCTCATTGTGTTGATGATAATTTTAATGATGAATCATGAGAAAACATATAGTATACCAGTAGGAGTTAAACTGTGTTGTTTGGAGTGATGATAGCTGTGAAATGAGTGATAAGGTTCATACATATCGTATGTAAGGGAAGAAACTGACTGTTAAGCTTTCATGCATGTGTCTATAATGAAGGAGTGAATAGACAGATATATAAAATATATATTAGATTTGATAGAGAAATTCCTATCATTCCTGCAGTTTAAAAAGTGAGACAGATAATGCGTAAACAGCATAACTTACACAGCTTGCGTTTTTGGGGAGAGTGTCAATTGAGCCAGTAAGGATGGTTAGTAGAATACCTCTTATGTATTAGTTTTAGCAACATATGATACATTACATTGACTATTTTTGGGTTAGTAGTTGTGTAATAGTTATGTCAAGTATTGCATGTTGAACCTCTGAGTATACAATTAATTTTCATTTAAGTAACCAAATCTTTGGGCTGTAATTACTCCTGTACCTATGCATTTTCCAGTGTTCCATATTGACTGCTGTTGCTTTTTCACCTTGACTGTACATAAATCAGAAAACCAGTATTTAGAAAATAATTGAGTTATATATGGTAACCTTTCAGTGAATTGTTGATGACACCTGCATAATTTAACTTCTTTTGCAGTCTGTTTATTACTGTGTGCACAATTTTTTCTGAATCTCTCACTACATTTCTAATGCAGTTTTAGTGGATGTTTTATAAGTCGTTTTAGTTATCAAGCCTGCTTGCTGTCCTTCTAGTCAAGTAGGGCACAATAACGTACAGCATTTGATGTGTACATGATTTATTTTGTGGACAACAGACCATGCTTTTATTAATAAATGCTGGCAATGTTACTTTTATCTGTTGGATGAACATACTGTTATTTATGTCTGAGCTAGCTCTGAATGTTGGTTTTCACACCAGTATGGCTAATTCAGTGTAGAAAGAAGTTTTTATCTCAGGTTACCCTTTGCAGTCTATGTCTGTGATCAATTTTAGTTGCAATTATGTTTTCAGTTTCTTCGGCTGTTTGAAAAGTGTCTAAGTTTTCAATTTTGCAGCAAATTTAATTATTATAACCATCTCCTATGTTACTATCAAATTTTTAGTTTACTTGTGTGTGTGTGTAAAGTCTTGATTTCTTTCTCTGGCAGAAATTTCTCTTCAGTTACAGTACTGTCTGAAAAATAGATTTTAGCATTTTAAAAATTCTTTATCAGGTCCTTTAAAGTACTGTAAATCATCATGTAATCTTAATTGTTTTTTGGCATGAAGTTAATTGCCACTGTAAGTTTGTAAAACAGACATTTTGAAGCATGAGCTTTCTTTGCTACCATTAGGGCTAATGCTCAAAACATGTCAACTTCCAACTCATGATAGCATTCAGTTTGTCTTTGACCGCATCAGCTCCAAGTTGATAAATTCCACTTGTCATATGAGTGTCTCAATTTCCACCATTGCAGCATAACAGTTTATAAGCACTCTATAAAGTAAATATCTTGACAATCCATTGGTTTCATCTGAGAAACACAGGTTACTTCCTTTTGGTTCACGTAGAGATGATTTGATGGGATGTCTGATACTTATAGATAAGAGGCAAAGTACATTAAGATGCTTTTATGAACAAACTGATTCTTGTTTTAATTGTTTTTAGGCTATTCTTGCCAAAGCTCTGTTTGATAACTTTGCTGATGCACCTGATGAATTAAGCTTCAGAAAGGGTGATGTTATCACTGTGCTAGAACAAGATGTGGATGGCCTTATTGGTTGGTGGTTGTGTTCATTGCATGGGAGACAGGGAATTGCTCCTGGAAATCGTTTGCAGGAAATTAAGAGGAGACTAGAAGGACATACATCGCCTCAAACATACAAATCTACTGAGTGTTTTTCTCTTGAGGATATTGATTATGATGTTCCCAAGTCTCATGAGGTTGGTGAGGATTATGCTGTACCAAGAGGAGTCGCAAGTCCTGACTATGATGTGCCAAATGCGAATAGACCTGAGGGATTTGTACACTCTAGTAAAGAATTTGAAGAGTTGGAGCAACAGTTAAGTAATCTTCCTGGTAAAAATTTATTAAATGACGAGGTCAACAGTAAGCAATCCAGAATTGAAAATGATGTCAAGGACCAAGCAACATGTGATGATATGTATGATGTACCCACACCACGCCTTGAAGATGACGTACCTCCAGAAGTTTATGACCTGCCTCAAAATTCTGACAAGGAGCAGAGCCATATTGAGCTGTTTTCCAATCAGACAACTGACTTGTATTCTGATGACAATGTATCCAGCAGTGCTGTTGCAATGTGTAATAGTCCTGATCAAGGGGTATCTAAACCAGAAAGTGACAGTAAGAAGCCTTTACTGGTTCACGAAGAACCTGAAATCTATGCTGAAATCTATGATGTTCCTGCTGCACCAAATGTTCACGAAAGAGAAAAGGTTTTTGAAAGACCTTTGTCACAGGACACAAATGTGAACAGAAACAGTGTAGAATTTAACAATCCAAGAAATTCACGAGATCTTGTGGCACACTCATTGGTGATAAGTAGTGGTGGGAAGCGTCAGTCAACATCTAGCACAGACAGCGCAAAGTTGAGTTCAGAGGATGATGACTATGTTGACTATCAAGACATTTATGGTGATGGACGGGGCAAAGATGTCAATGTGTACGATGTTCCAGTTCAGGTTTGTAGTTTAAGTGAATATTAAACAATTAGATTATGGGCTCGAGATTTCTATTGTGTGACAACTGACGAGGGCGCAGCCCGAGTCAACTATCACGCATAGAAATTCAGAGCGAATAATTTCATTGTTTTAGTATAAATCTACTAGTCGTTCCAAACTTTATCTAAATCCTCTTCACAGACACTTCTAAAACACCAAGAAGGGGTGGTCATTTTGTTATTAACAAGGGCACACTGCTACGCTACTCACTATCTATCACAGAATAGATAGTGAGTAGCATAGCCAATCAGAGAACGGCATTCGTGATAGAACGCTAGGAGATTTATACTAAAATGCATTATATACCTGTAAAGTGATTATTTGATTTGTAACATCAGCATTTCTGTTTGTGCACATACACTAAACAGAAATATAGTTATTTGAGGAGGATATCCAAATAATCTTACTTTGTTACAAAATTAGTGATCGTGATTGCTTCTCCACAGGCCTATTTTTCAAATAATTGGCACACCATCATATGGGTGTCCAATTGCAGGTATCCAATTGTAATTGTAATTGTAATACCTGCACCATTCACATGTTGATTGCGTGTGCTTTAAAGGCTTCCTTCTTAGTGTTTCCTACAGTTTTTAAACAATTATTGGATAAGGTTTTTGTGATATCCAGAATAATCAAGGTGGAGGTAGGTAACAAGACCTTGATTATTCTGGATATCACAAAACCCGAATCTAATAATTGTTTATTATAAATTAAACAACAAAAAAAGAAGTCATGTTTTTGCTTCTTCACTGATAGCAAGCAGCACAAAGCACATGAACTTGACATGATTACCCTTAGAAATCTTTCACTTGATATGATTACCCATGACCTGGAGTGTCCTTGACATGATTATTGTATAGTCTGCAGCTAGATGACGTCACAGGCGCTGATTTCGAAAATTCCCTGTGCGCTTTCGGCCAATCAGAAAGTGAGTTCAATGTATAATAATAAAACTTATGGGTAGCACTACTGACTTTTTTAATTTCGGAATGTGTTATAGATACAATTAATTAGTAATTGAAACTAGTGTCATACAATTTGCAGGGCTTCTGGTAGGTCGTGGAAAAAAAGTCAAATTTCGTGGGATTTTCAGGGACAAATTCGTGGAAAAAATGGCCAATTTCGCTTGAATTTCGCGGAATTTTCAAGGCCAATTTTGCTGAAAAACGATCAGTAAAAAACGTCTGATTTCGCGGGAGTTTTCTGGGCAAATTTCACTGGAAAGTGATTGGTTTTGTGCTGATTTGAGGAACGTTTTTAATGAAACTAGACGCTCTTAGAGCATTTACTCAGGCTTCGTACCGCATTATGAAATCACACTTTACAAGTAAGCTTATTGAACACAGTAAAAACAAATAAGAGAATCAGGATAATAAAAACACAAGAGTTACGCTTAGATATTTACTATTCAAGTTGCTTCATTGAATATCTTCTTTATCCGATTGTAAAGTTCTGTTTATGTGGGATTCTTGATTTTTTTCAACATCGTAGCGAGACACCAAAAACCTACACAAAGGAAATATGGTATGTTTGATTCTTGTCAGTCTTCGTTTTGGCCATGCGCACGGTGTTGATGTAATCACTAATCATTGACAAATGTCCGAGTTTTACTCTAATATTTTTTGTTATGGACTGAATGTGAATGAAAACAATCGTAGTCATAGATTCTCTGTGATATCAGCTTGCGGTGTTGTTTTAATCTCCACTCTTTTACCGGGTTAGCAAGTAACAAGGAGAAAAATTTACACAACTCACTGAAATTCTCGTAGGCGGTGTTAAATTTCAATCCTAAACAGTGCAGAGTTTGTAACGATGTTATGATGTCATAGGCCCTTCGAGCTTGCGCATTAGAATGAGATGTATCCTGGTTGTAGTTGTTGTATTGCGGCTAGTAATGGCGGGCTTTTATGAGCTTAATTAAAACCGTTGTGTTATCATCGTTTGGTCTCGTTTAGACTACGCTACATGGTGTCAGAAGTGAAACACACATAGTACTGCCGCTCATGGCCATGCCGGAAGCCAACGTGGTGAGTTTTTTGATGTATTTTCTGTGAACTCTCCTGTCGATATTTCTGTACAAGTATTACATGTATGCCTACCACGAGTGAAGGTGATGGCGCTTCGGGTACACTACCCTCGATGATAACTGTTCCTGTGAATATACAGCTTCCAGAAATGATGGATTTAAGCGGTGGAAATCTTCCTGTCAAATGGCAACGATTCTGTTGAGCGTGGTCAAATTACGAAATTGCGGCTCAGCTAAAAGACCCCGAAAATCCGGGCAGCAATAAGGAATGACGGGCAGCCACATTGCTTACATGCATCGGTTCTGATGCATTAGACGTAATTGATGCTAGGGAGTTTGAGAACAAAATCCAAAGAAAAGACCCAGAAGTGATCTTAGAAAAGATGAAACAATACTGCATTGGGGAGTGCAATGAGACC